AAAAAAACCTATGAACAAATTCCTATGCACACTGCACATATCTTATTTTGAAGTAAAAAAACCCAATGGGGCAAAAACACCCAACGGGCCGCATGTGGCCCATGGGCCATAGTTTGAGGATGCCTAAACCATACTATATTAATTAGCCCGAGTGTAGCCATTTCGTATTGACCCAATTGTGGCCATTTTGTAACTACTGTAATTCTTTGTCACTTCTTTAATTGCTGACCTGTTGCCATTTATTTTTGAAATTGCTGATGCTGCTTTTATTTTTATAAGTTCTCACTTTTCCATATATCATGACGTCACCTGCCCTTGTGCCTTGTGCCATCCACAGCATAAAAACTCCCCTCTTTAAGCATTCAGGGGTCACGGGTGAATTAGACTTTGGCTGCCCCTTGACCACCAGCCAATAAAGGCTATTAACCCTAATTAAAGTTGTGTGTGGGTTAATTAATCTCATTTGGGCACAGAGGACAATAGGACATACAAGTTTGATTCATAATAAAACACAAAGCAAATACCTTGGCCCGTGGTCCACGTCTTAAGCATGTAAGTACATTCTCTAAGATATCAAGCATAGTCTACATACTCACCACAGCAAACACAGGGGCTACGCTGGCTAACGTGGCTTGGGAGGCATCAGATGTTCTAAAGCGGTGCACTTCACCTGAGGAGTGAATAAGAGATTGCCTGTGATCACACAATGAGTTTTTCACATGTAGCTAAGACATAGCACATATTGTATGTGGTGGCTTTCAAACGATTTTGTTTGAACTATCCCCCTACCACCACCCAAGAAAAAAAACACTAGTTCATTTTAGTTTTTGTACTTGATAATATATTTTTGGCTTCTGAAAGGACTAACTTCTGAAAGGACTGGTTTAAAAATCAGAATTTTATGGAATTCAATTGTGGATAAACACACTAGTGTTATGGGAGTTAAAGATGTTTGGTTTACTTTTTTACACAACTTAAGGTTCTTTCATGCAAATTACAGCAGAGAAAATATTTTAAAATATTTGCCTGAGTACCACATGATTTTTAGCATTCTAATATTAAGATAATTCGAATGACATATAAAGACTTTCTTTTCTTTATATCTCACAGATACATTTTAGAGTGAGTACTTCTGATATATAGTATACCTCACTGAACCAGAATGAAGACAAATCTTTGATTGAAAATACAGCTATCTGACGCAGGGAGGGAGGGAAAAAATGAGGAGCTGATCCCAAGGTCTCAAGTAGAAAGAAAATGTTTTGAGAATGATGATGGCAACAAATGGACAAATGTGCCTGACACAATGGGTGTATGTATGGATTGTGATAAGAGTTGTAT